ATCAAAAGTCACTAGGAAAATTGTTCAAAGGCCCCCGACCCCCAGGATAATCTCGCAGCAACAGAAAGCAGCCCTATCAAGAAATGCCACCCATTATACCAAGGGTTCTGAAAAGGTCCCCACTGAATCGACGGGAAGCCAACATGTTCTATCGCAACATCTTCCTTCGAGTGGGGTTTATCTGCGTCTGAGAAAAACTTTCTTCAAGGATGCCGATCTCGATCAAATTGATTCGGCTCCACGCCGGGCTGTACTTCAGAAGATGGGGTAGCGATCGAATACTGCGAAAGTGATCTGTTATGGTTCCTGGAAGTTGGGGGGTATAGAAATTTTTCGACTCGCTGACAAGCGAGGAGTCGGGGTGATCCATCAGTTCTTAAAGCACTGGAGGACAAGGTGCACCGACATTGGAGACCTAAGTGAATTCACATACGCATGGTTGCAGTTCCATGCCGGAATTGGTCGGCCCATCCTTGAGGACCTCGAAATCTATTGTCATCTCCCAGTCGGGCTGTCCCAATGCATATGCGAAAGTTCCTTAAATCCATTGGAGGAACGATCGAAGTGCATAACGCTAACATTCCGCCGTTGCAGCGCGAGCAAGAATCCTACATTATGGATTGGGTGGGGTGGTATGGGGATTTCTCCGAGGCAGACTTGAAACGGATCAACTATGTGCGGCTTTATTTCCAAGTTGTCACGGTAGTTGACATCACAACGGCATGTGCACATACATCCGGGAGGAGTTCTGGCATGGCTTTTCCAGTCCTCTGATGCCTCGCACCACCTACTTCAAAAGATTTCAAGATCGACCCAGATCCCAGACTTGGTGGTTGTGGAGGAAAGCTTATCCCTTTTCGCTCCGAATCTGACGTTGGATGTACCCCTGGGAGGTGGCTCGTCTCTGCTGACAAGCTCCGGATGCGCACAGGTTCTTCTACGAAGTCAATCCAACGTCGTCTATCAACAAGTTGACAAGATGAGATCCAGATTTTGGATGTTCCAACATTCAGCCCGAAAAGGAACGGACAGTTCATCTGTGGAGTTCGGAGATGAGAACCTGCCTGGACGCCAGCATCCTAACAACTCGGTGCCACTGATCCCACTTCACCCGATCCTTGCACCTCGTCCAGCAGACTCTGGAAAGGGCAGTCCTAGACCTGACCCCTTTCAACAAGCGTGAGACATGGTAGTTGGTAGTGGTTTCACAGCAGGCATTCCTGTTCGTCCACTACCACCCACATACAACTATAACATTGAGGATTTCCTTGCCACCTTGGAGCCTTGGGAAACAGCTCTTTATGACGAGTTGAATGGATGGTGGACGCCACTCAGTCCTGCAGATTGTCACAGCCATGCCCTTCTGGGTGCCAGCGATGGAGCTGCAGACATTGAGCCGGTAAGGCAAGTTTTGCATGGGTCCTGGCAGACAACCGCGGCCAAATTGTGCTTCGGTGCTCTGGTCCAGTTTTTGGTATGGTCCCGACTTCATACAGGGCGGAGGCCTATGGCATTTTATCCCCTACTTGCCTTCTTAGACGATTGCTGGAGTTCTACGATCAGACCAGCATGAAGACTTATGTACACTTATGCGACAATGAGTCTGTGACGAATAAGTGCGCTAGCTGTCTCGAGTATGAGGGCTGGTACCCCAATGATTCGTTGGACTCCGACTGGGATGTCTTGCAGCAGATCGAGGATTCGTTCAGGGCTGCAGTCACAGTGCCCAAGATGGAGCACAAGGCCATCGAAACGCTACCCCTAAAAGCACAACTGAACTGCAGAGCTGACAAACTTGCAGGCAGCTACATGACCCGACACATGAAACAGGATCACTCCAAGATACTCCGATTTCCGGCCAACTTGGCCCAGCTGCACCTTCCCAAAGGAACATGCACATACAAGCTCCCCAGAACACTGCGGCATCTCAGGAACGACCAGCCCCTGTTCGACCACATTGTCAAACTGAATCCCGATTGGGACGAGGACACCCCTACCCTGGTTGATTGGATAGCCCATGGTCGAGCTGTCAACCGTCACGAGATCCACAAACCGACAATTGTGAAGTTCCTATTTCAATTGTTGCCAGTTGGGAAACGGATCCACTGGGATGACCCCAAGTATGATCACCACTGTCCCCGTTGTGGCGGTGATCACGAGACTGAAATCCATGTTTACTGATGCCCGCATGTTGACGTGGATTTGTGGCGAGGGACCATGCAACGAGCGATCAGCACAAAGTTGCGCAAGGATTCCACTGACCCCTTCCTCCTGGAAATTGCTCTGGATGGACTACAATACCACTTTGAAGATCGATTCCTCCACCCATGGCATTACCCTGACAGGTATAGGGACCTCGTTGACACTCAAAATCTCATTGGTTGGGACAACTTCCTGAGAGGACGTTTGTCCAAGCACTGGGCTAAGCATCAAGATGCATATCTGCATCGGGTCGGCTCCCAGGAGACCATCAAGACAGGGCAGCTCTGGGTCACCAACCTAGCCTCACTGCTCATCCAGCAGTGGTGGAACCTGTGGGAGGATCGAAATGCTGCCAGGCATGGCAAAGACAGGGAAGCCCAGTGGAAGAAGAAGCACGAACAGCTTCAGCGGGAGGTGGAACTCATCTACGAGAAAGCGGATCTGATCCCAGCGGAGCTGGTGGATTTTATCTTCAAGCGACCGCTTGACGAGCAAATGGCAAAGGGCCCAGGCGACATCAAAGCGTGGCTTGCCAATTGGCTGCCCGTCGTCGACAAGGCACTCAGGGACGAGCATGCACGCACAGTGCAGATCAATGACACAGGGTAACTATGCACAGAGGGGGTCTTCCCGTAGAAATAGATGGCAATCCAGCCACGGGTAGCTAGTTAGTCGTACAGCACCCTCCGGAGTTTTGTTCATTTTCTCCGGTGGGGGGCTTACACTAGGCCCATCCTAAGTGGGCGCACTCATGCGCCTGAGGTATATGGGTTCGTCACGGCACCGTTAAGCGGATCGTCTGACGAGGTGTAGCCTTTAAAATAAAATTTATTTTTTAGCCAGCAGCCCAGCTTAGAGCTTGGCCACTGCCCACCTGATCCACCGACGGCCCTGCATCCACTCAGCCCGCCTCTGCTCTAGCTGGGTGGCTTGGCAGCAGACCAACGAAGCAGCAAAATACCACTCTCGACTCTCGACAATGGCAACTGAACGCCCAGCGTGTATCATGTATTGATTTTAATTTATCCGTTAGCGTATCTTCACAGTTAATTCATGCCGGCAAGCACGTATCCATCGTCGCTTCTATATCTAGCTATTCCATTGCCTCCTTGATTGTCATGTAAACGCCCAGTGCCCCACAGAATATTCCAAATGGAAGCAATAGCAAGCTTTGATTTTTCGTATTCAGCGCTACCCTCCCCTTTGATCAATTTGACGGCCTTACTGTAAAGAATAGGAGGACAGATGTAGACGATCGAAGCTCCCATGGCCGCTCCGGTCAATCCTACCACTAGAGAGACATCTTGCACTGTGCAGGAAATCGCCGTGACAAAGGCCAGCATGGCAGCGACCAATGGAAAATGGAATTGATCTTTTCCAACGGACTCGAACCCCAAACTGGATGCGACATGACAAAGGAACCACAAATGTACAGTCGTACCGTATTCGACCCGCCCATGCAACTGCACCAACCGTTTGACAGATGGATGTGCCTACAACAACCACTGCAGAAAACCCATTGTCATCTATGAAGCAACAAGCACCCAACCTCCCAATCCTGCATCCAGCCCCAAATCCTACATCGGCGCCACACAAAACTTCCTCAAGCTCAGAATGTCATCACATGTCAGTGAAACAAAACGCCTATGCCAATTCCTACGCGGCAAAAAACACAAACCCAAGAACTCGGACACCTTTGCTTGGCACTTTGCTGCCAAAGCAGTGGCAACCACCACAGGAGACCCCACAGCATCTGACATTCGGAAACTCTACAACCTCAAAATACTGTGGCAGGGCAACCCCCAGTCCACAGTCAAAACGTTCGGGACAAATGACTGCATTCTATGTAATCAAGAACGGCTTCACATCTTCAAACGTATGAGAAACAAACCTTCTACACTTCTCAACAGATGTGAAGAACTATTTAATACATGCCGTCACAAACCACGGTTCCACCGGTTCACCCACGCAACCCCAGTGAGCAGCACTGATGAGCCCTCAATGGGCGAAAAAGTGCCAACCACCATTGATGTTTAACACCAATGGTGTGTGTGAATGCAATCGATATAACCCATAGAAATAGTACCACAGAGTCAACCCATCAAGCCACAGTTCTGTTGCCTCGTGCCACTCGGCACCAGAACTCCAGCCTGAAGGCTTGTCTCTGTCAATCCCAGTAAATTATATTTAGAATACTCACTTTTTGCTGCAATTGATAAACAATAAGGTGTCACATCCTCGGAGCTCCCAACCTATACAATTTAATTGTACAGTATTTTAGTCTCACACCTCGGTCCCCCTTTTTCTCTTAAGGTTAGGGATATGGGAAATAATTCTTATCGGTAGCAACTTCTTATCGGCGGCAACTTCTATTGGACTAATTTTTCATAATTAATTGATATGTATTGTATTTGCCGCTACAATGAGAGGGGAGGGGATGACGATGACGAATGCGAGGATATTATTCCCAATGTTCTCAACACGGAATGTATCAACGACAGGAAGCTTGTTGAGTTTAGGACTGCTGTAAACAGAAGGAAGATTACATTGCGGTGGATTAAAGTTGAATTTAAGGAGTTTGATATTGTTTCGATGGTTAAGGAGGTGGCTATTGAACAGTGGATGAGACTTGGAAGTGGGACATTGAAACTTTTCATCCCGAAAAATAAGCACGTTGTTAAGCGGTGCCGGGACGGTATCCTTCCAATATTATTATATTGTAATGCGAGCAGCAAGGAGGCCCGAGGCAGTCCGTTTCTCTCCAGTCTCACTATTAATGCTACAGTACTTTAGCTTGGCTAAATCTGGAAAATCTCCTCGTTCAGGGCATTCGTATCGTTTTTTCCAAGACCCGCTGATTCGCACCACTTGATAAGGATTGTCTTGGCAGACGTTTCCATCTTGTTGTAGTAGGTTCTATGAGAGCTCGACGACCCTAGATCATTCTCTGCTTGCTCTTGTACATTGCTGAGGAACAAGACACCACCAAACAATTCGTCAAACACTTTATCCAACCAATTTGGCCCATGAGGATCTTCGTCATTCAGTTCTTGCGATCTCTCGATGAGGGCCTTTTTGACGTCCAACGTGACACATTTGAAAGCTGAATCATAATACTTAGAATCTTTGTTGAAAATTTTGGAGCATGCGTCTTTGAAATGGTCGAGCCTCGCACCATGAATCTCTGCCTCGCGGAATGCAGCTCGCAAAACAAGACGGGTAACAATTTCTTCATTGCTTGGATCGACATCACCAAGGTGAGCAGTAAACATCGTACCTGCACTACTAGAGATAGATGGGTCCTTCAAGAGAGCCAACATTTTGTTGTTCTCCAACAAACTACCAAGCAAAGTAGTGACTCTGTTGTTTACCAATTGGTTGTAAGCAGGAAGTGCTGGTCCATTAGCAACGCGGTCTGCAATGTTCGTGAGCCCGGTTGCAACGTTGTCCACCAAGAACGATTCATCGTCCGACTTGAGGCTGTTGATAATCATAACAACAGCAGCTTCTACGTCAAAATCATTGCTGCATAGCTCAATGATGTCCTCGTGGCGATCTGGGTTCTTGATAAATTCAGAATGAGATGGAGGCAGCTTCCGATGATAGACTGACTTGCTTTCATGAAGTCCAACAACAACGGTGGCGTCAACGTCAACGTCAACGTCAACGTCAACGACACTGGACGACTGCATCCCAGCATTTTCTGAACAACACGAACACAATAACGCACACCTGTACATACCTTGAAGGGAAGTCACCTTATTGCCTCTCCGAGTCCCTCTTCCCCTGCGCTTAGTAAACAGCGGATTCTTATTCCCTATAACCTTGTTTGCGCTCTCATCAAAATGAACAGTGTGCATGGCTGTTAGCATCCCTTGCTGTTAGTGCTGTTGCTATGGCAAATAGCGAGCAGAATGATTTATTGCATTGCTGCTAATAGTCTCCGAGTGACTAGTGGCTGAAATATGAAGGTTGTAATATAACAATCTCGGTATGCTTTCTTAACTGCCGTAATGGTTGAATGTGAGAAGCCTGTCTTCTAAGCCAACCACGCTGGGTTCACGCTGAGTACCGTTAACTCAGTTTCCGAACCGACGAACATTGGTTAGGGTTAGGGTTTCCCCCTCTTTCCCCCCACGCCTCGGCGTCCTCCATCTCTCTCCACGCCCCCCGTCCCTCTGCCATGAGCCGAAAAGCGGTGAAAGGCAGAAATTTGATTGGCTAGTCAAGCTAATATGTCAGCAAATACATCAGCAATAGTTCACGTACCATTTATAAATATTTACAGGGAAACTGTGCTACCTAGTCACCATTTTCGTGTTTCTGTTTTCGCAAAAGGATTCCGTGGAAGCAGCTTCTAGGCAATCATCTAATTTGCCGTAGAATTCATCAGTTGCAAACAATTCTTGTTTACTAGTTAGTGAGATATCTTCATCACTTTGGTATGAGAAATCGGAACAGGGTTCCGTTGAGTCATCATCCTGGCCTAATCCTCAGATAGAGATTTCTCCATCCAAGTGATTGAAGTTGATAGAGGAGTTGTCCTCATTGTCAGAGTTTTCTGATTTGCGCTTGGCAACATGGTTGCGAAGTTTGCAAGTGGTTGCACGAGTATCGTCGATCTCGTTTTTGTCGTCGTTGTCGACGAGAGGAAGAATGGGTTTGTCACGCAACTGTTTTTCGAAGTTGCGGAACGCATGCTTTCCTTGAGCCATCTTCATGGTGAAGGAATAGGTTGAGGGTAGCTGAAAGCTATTGATTAGTGTAGTGCATTTTGTTAACAAAATGCATACGCTAAAAGCTAGTGTAAGATCTTTCGAGTGTTTTGAGTTTGAGAGAATGAAAGTTATGAGAGAGATTAGAAAGCTATAAAAACTAATCAACGAGAGAGATCATCATCAAGGGATCGTAGATCTGGCTTCCCGCGGAGACTATAAAGTGTGATAGAGTAGGTTGCGGTAGTAATCCTACGTACCTCCACGATCCTAAAACGGAACGCGTGGAAGATTTGTCTAGCATGGATCTAGTAGCGTGGAAGTACTCCACCCTGGCTAAATATTTAGAGCGATGTTTCATCATCAACCTAGTATGACTAGCGCGGTCATTGAGAACCCTGTCTCAAATGACTATTCACGAGAGACTCAGTCATGAGTCGAACTCAAACCCTATCTAGGATCGAGTCGCGAATAAGGCTAAGAGCCGTGTATTGCATCAAGCAAGTGCAATCTCTTGCACTACGCCAAAAGCTAGTGTAAAGATCTTGCGAGTGTTTTGAGTTTGAGAGAATGAAAGTTATGAGAGAGATTAGAAAGCTACGAAAACTAATCCATGAGAGAGATCGTTGTGAAGCTCATTGAAGTTGGTCTCCCGCGGGAGGCCTCGAAGTGTGATATCATAGGTTATGGTAATAACTCTACGTATTCGCGAAGGACTCATGACGTAGTCCTTCGCGAATAGTCATTGAGACAGGGTTCTCATGACTGCTAGTCATACTAGGTTGTCGATGGAACATCGCTCTAGATATTTAGCCGGCGTGGAAAGCTTCCACGCTACTAGACAGCTACTAGCTGAAGTTTCCACGTGTTCCGGAAATGGACCGTGGAGTACGTAGAGTTATTACCATAACCTACGATATCACACTTCGAGGCCTCCCGCGGGAGACCAACTTCAATGAGCTTCACAACGATCTCTCTCATGGATTAGTTTTCGTAGCTTTCTAATCTCTCTCATAACTTGCATTCTCTCAAACTCAAAACACTCGAAAGATCTTTACACTAGCTTTTAGCGTAGTGCATTTTGTTAACAAACACAATAGCTTTCAGCTACCCTCAACCTATTCCTTCACCATGAAGATTGCTCAAGGAAAGCATGCGTTCAGCAACTTCGAGAAACAGTTGCGTGACAAACCCATTCTTCCTCTCGTCGACAATGATGAAGACAACGAGGTCGACGACACTCGTGCAACCACCTACAAACTTCGCACCATTCCTGCAGACGCAAATAGTGCCAAGTACACTTTCAAGGTAGCCATCATCAATGGCTTCAACAATCCACGTGAGACCATCAATTGGGCCACGAATATGGAGAAGGTCTTCGTTGGACTCAACCTTGCTGGTGCCGATGACAAACATCGACTTCTCAAGGAGATGACTTCCAGCTCTGCAAAGAGTGCCTACGAAGCTGGGTGTGCAGGCAGTCATGCCGTGCGTCATAACACCCTTCGACAAATTGCTGTGAATGCAATTGCTCCACGCGATGTGGCTTCTGGAGAAACCGAAGTCCAATTCCAGGCTCGTGTCCAAACTGCATGGGATGGTGCAGCAGAACCTGCTCTAAGCGATGCTGACATCACCTTTGGAATCAACGCGGTGATCGAACAAGCCTGTCCTTACAAGGCTCTTGAAAAACAGAAACGCTTCATGCGTCGTAAGATGCGCAAGCCTAGCGAGATGACAACTCGTGCCTACATCAACAACCTCACTCGGATGAACACCGATGAACTTCCACGTTTGCCACCTTTCGGTGCCAATCAACAGTTGAACCAGGACGAATTCATTGACATCATCTGTCATGGCATTCCTCGTTCCTGGGCGGATGCGCAAGATGGACGAACACGACTTCGATCCTTTCACTGCCAAGATGACGGCTCTCATTGGATTCTGTGAGCGCATGGAATCTGCTGAAGACTTTGACAAAGGCAGCGATGCCAAGCAAGCTACTTCGAAGAAGAACAGCAGCAAAAAGTACAAGTCTAGCCGCAACAACAACCACTCCTCCAAGAACAAAGGAAAGTGGTGTGGCTACCACGAGTCCAGCACTCACGATACTGCTGACTGCATGACTCTGAAGAAACTCAAGTCCAAGTCCTCGTCCGGTAACGATAGCAAGCCAGCGTACAACAAGAACGAGACTTGGAAACGTAAGTCTGACGATGCCAAGTCCTACACCAAGAAGGAACTTTCTGTCCTTATGAAGAAAGTCTCCACTGCTGCTGTCAAGGCCGATCGCAAGAAGAACGGCGAATGCAACCATGTTGCCAAGCGCAAGTCGGATGACTCTGATAACGAGGATAACTCCTCTGCCAGGTCCCTCAACATGATGGACAAGAAAATGGCCATATATATAAAAAGTACTAGTTTTAGGCAGACTACCTATCTGGTCCGGAGGACCTTTGTCAACGCTGGTACGAATCGAGCCCGAGGGCCCAAGCAACTGAGTCGTTTATGTGGGTGTTCGCACGACACGAGGGGAATAGCATTCAGTTTCATTGAAACAAGAGGATGTACCTCATAGAAGCACGATGGTAACTAGCTAACTAGTCTACGCTCGTCTTTCACCTCCGTCCCCAACGAGAGGGGACAGGTCCTTGTTTCTCCGCTACCACAATGAATGCCTCCTCGTGGAGTGACCGGGGGCGCAGTGGCCTAATCCGGATTAAGACTAAAATGTGTGATCATCAGTTGCTGTTGCCGTTGGAGCTGTCGATTCGCTGGAGCAAGTTGCTTCTGGAACTCTGTTCGGGCCAGGGAGGTAGATTCAAGCCATCGTTTTGTCTTGTCGATAGTGAATGTAAGGGTGTGGGTTTTGGTGTCCGGGTGGACTCTCCAGTGGTCGACGGGGAGTAGGCCTATGGTGCCTTGGGTGTACTGTTGTCGAACCCGTTCGCGTAGAGTGTCCAGTTGGGATAGTTGGGTGGGAGTGAGGGTAGTGCCATGGACGGCTTCATTTCGGTTGGTCCAAAGGTTGAAGTGTAGCGCTCCAAATTGTTTGATGAAGGCCTGGTCCGAGCCCAGGCCAATCCCATTTTTCTTGACGCGTTGCCAGGTAGTGTGTTTGGATGTGTTGGAGGATGGGAGACCCTGCCCATTAACCAAGCTCCAACCAGCCAGGAAGTGTCTTGGTCGGCCGATGGCCCTCGGCGGATGGAGGTGGGCAATCGGCTGTGTGTTGGGTGAGTGTGTCGCCTTCGGTGCCGGACGTTGAGGCTGAGAGAATCTGTGTTCGGAGTCTGGGTGGGTGTCCTCTTCTGTCATCCACTTAATCAGCGCCGGTCATTCTTGCTTCTTCCATTCCGCTGCTACAAATTGGTCGGAGTCAACAGAGTCACACCGTGGAGGGTGTCTCATACTTCGAGTCCCGATCGCGGAACAGTTGCTGCTGCGTCTTGCCACCTTCTTCGCAGTTGCATCCGCCGACCCGCAGTGTCCTGAGGTCGTTTTTGGTTACCCAACGATTGTGCCAAGGGGGCTGTTCTACAATGCCCGCCATGGGCATGTGTCCAGTTGGTTCGTTGCGCACTTGTCGTTCCATGCTCGGTGGAGTAGTGCACATCCCGAACCCGTTCTTCACTTGTTTCCAAGTGGGCTTTGATGGAAGCTTCTACCAGGAGTGTGTGAACTTCTCTCAGGTGGAATCGCGCCAGTTTGCGCCCTTGAACTTGACGTCACGCTCATTTGGGTGAACTGGGATGTTGGGGAAAGGGGGAACGGCAGGTCCAGTGTGCTTTGCCCGATGCCATCTGCTAATTCAAATAGCCCATCGGTCCACCATGGTGAGGTCGTTTCACACGCAGCAGCTCCGGCGGCGCCGAGGAGGGGTCTCTGTGTCATCCTCGTGCCTCACCCAGACGGCAGAACTTGCACTTTGCGCTTCCGAGGCTTCAGGATTGCTCTGCCTTCTACGCGCAGGTCAT